CAGTGGCAGCAGTGGTGGTGCACCATGGTGGACTTATTGGAGTGCTGGAATCACCAATACAATTGGTCCAGCCATGGGAATTGAATCATTGAAATACATCAGTTACCCTGCTCAGGCATGATCTTAGATTCTTCATACCTTTTAGATATTTTCTCGTTTTATCTCTCATGTTTTTGTGCCACTCTAGTTATTGATATGCAATCCTAATCCACATTCCAAAAACAATTCTTAATTAAGTATGCCTTCTCCAGTATAGTTCTCGTAATCGGCAAAATGTTATTATCATGGACAAAGTCAAACTATCAACACTTGTTAATTTAGTGCTATAATTTAGAGTCATCACCCGTCGATTATTGTTGAATCCAAATGTTTTTCTGGTTAGAGATGGGGCATTAGCCCTTGCTATTATGGTTATTGTTGATTTCCCCTCGGACAGCTAAATTGATTGGTTTTAACATTTGATACTGTTCGTCTTACATGCAGATGCTGGCAAAATCCTCAAAAATGATTCTAGGTAAGATATACACTATTTTCTGTAAACTATTATTTTTCATGATTCTTCATTGATTAGTAAATTGATGGTATCATGCAGAGCATTGATAACTTTGATTTTTTTTTTAACGCAATAACTTTTAATTGGTGTTTATAAAGGATTGTCACTTATTCCTAAATTTACTTTAGGTTAAAGAAACATGTATCATGCTGTTTGTGAATGATCTTAACGTATATTTCCCTTATGCAGTCATGCTGATGGGTACTCTAGTTTATGGTATTCAATACTCTTTGCCCGAGTATATCTGCACATTCCTTGTGGCTGGAGGAGTATCTATGTTTGCACGTATGAAGGTGAGAAATGTGATATTTGTTAGACCGTAATAACAATGTCACTTTTTTTTAGTTGTAATTGACATCTTGCTTCTTCACAAGGCATTGTGATGACTAAATGTCTTTAAGGCCACCAATGAAATCTCAGTTCCGAGTCATATGCTTTGCTCATAATACGTATGCTTTGATCTTATTCCAGACTAGCTCAAAAACAATTATTAGCAAGTTGGCACATCCTAATGCATCCCTTGGATTTGCGCTCTGTTTTTTGAACCTTGCATTTGATGGCTTTACTAACGCCACTCAGGATTCAATAAATACGAGGTATGTTTGTCGACAACTTTGTCCCACCTTAACTTCGGTGCTTTTCTATTTTGTTACACTTAATATGCATTGCTGCTTTATCCCGGGATGTTCATTTGACTCAATCTCGACGGTTCCTGCGTGATTCGATCGAGTTGCATTTTTTTATATATAAAAAGATGGGGTTCGGGTCCTCTTTTTTTTGAAGAATGAGATCGGGTCAGATAGGGTGAAAATTCCCCGACTAGACCTGATATAATATTATAATCATCCCTTATATATTTATGAATAATTGCAATAATATTCTTCTATATTATTTTTTCCAATTAAATCCTTATTTTACCTAATAAAAATGAATTATATATATATATTTGTGTGGGATCAGATCGGATGTGGGTTTTCACATAAATATCGGGTCAAAATTTAGATTGGGTGAAACCCTCTTAAATTTGAGTTGGGTCAAATGCGGATGAAAGAATTTGCTTTTCGGGTCGGATTTGGATAGGCCAAAAACCTGACCTACCTATGACCATCCCTAATTATCCCCCACCTGTTCCCCCCCCCTTTGTTGGTCAATTGAATAAGCTTTCCAATTAAATTTAAAGAGCAAGCACTCTTTATTTTTTCTCCAAAGGAGAACTTTGGTTCATTCATTATACTTCGTTGCTTAGGTATCCAAAGACAAGAGCTTGGGACGTAATGTTGGGAATGAACTTATGGAGTACCGCATACAACATGATCTACATGTTTGGTTGGCCACAAGCTAGTGGCTTCGAGGCAGTCCAGTTCTTCAAGCTGCATCCAGAAGCAGCTGGGGATATTTTGCTCTATTGCCTCTGTGGTGCCATCGGCCAGAATTTCATATTCTTGACCATAAGTCGGTTTGGATCCTTGGTGAACACAACCATTACCACAACGCGCAAATTTGTCAGCATTGTGGTGTCTTCTCTATTGAGCGGCAATCCACTGTCCACAAAGCAATGGGGTTGTGTACTCATGGTTTTTTCAGGTTTGTCTTACCAAATCTGCCTTAAGTGGAAGGAGTCACAGGAGCTGCAGAAAAAGAGAAAGGCCTGAACGATGTCCGTAACAGGTTTGAGCTTTACATTAACCCTTTCTCTATCCCACCTCATTTTTGTTTACTGCCTCCACGAAATAATATCACTGCAACCGAAGGTTCAATGATCCCTTAATTTAAAACGAAACTTTTTTTAGGAGTATTGTTTTTTCCTCGTGTCTTAGGGTATAAGTTAATAATAAATTAATTTCACTTGGCGTAACTCTACAACAAATGACATAATTTTCAAAGATATTTGTGTTTCAAATCCGATACAGTTCATCTTTCGGACATAAATGTGACTGTACAAGTAGAAATTAATTCAACATGTGTCATTATTACAGATGTCAATTACATCTTCTATCTCCCTGTGGATGAGAGCATGTAATTTTTTTCCAATATAATAATGGGCAATTTGCCTACTCAAGTAAAGATACACGTACCGGCGAAGATTGGGGGAAAAGAATGAAGGAATTTAGATATGCACTTCGCATATCTTTTTGTGTGAAAAATAATAGCCATCTTCTGAAATCAAATGACAACATTTCCATGGCCGCCAAGCAATATAATACACAAGTATGCTTTCACTTTATTAATGCCATTTTGGTCCTCAACCAAAATGAAAACCAGATGACTTGAAGGAACTCGACAAATCAGGCAGCCTGAGTGTTGCGATAATCCCCGCAGCCAGGGCGCATAAGGAAGCCAAAATGAAGGCTGGTATGTTTCCTCCACCAAATAGAGCATCCCACGGACCGGCACCGAGAGATACAATCACCTAAAGAAATCAATAATACATTAAAAATCAGTTCTAACTAAATTGGATTGAATTGAGAAAGCACAAAAGAACCATTTTTTTTCATTCAGTTTTAACACTAATCAACGTTTTATTTTATATGCTCAAAAGGTAACCAAAATATGAACTTCTGGAAATTTCGGAAGGGATTTTGCAGAAACTTGGAAAGGACGGTCGTTTTTCGCTCGTGTTTATGGATCTTGTGATTTGGATACGTCGCATCTACATTGAGAGTAATGCGGACTCGTTTCCGGATCTCTACGCGTAAGGTCTATGTTCTTGTTTTTATTAGAATAAACTACATATATAATTCATAAATTATTACTTTTATTTTGTTATCATTTTGTATAAATTTTAATTTGGTATCTTATCATTAAAAATTTAATGTTAATGATAATATATCATTAAAAAATATCATATCAATAATTTTATTAAATTTTTAACGATAGATATCAAATTAGAATATAAATTAAACGTTAAATATAATTTAAAAAAATAAAATATAAATATTAAAATAGACAAAAAAAAAAGATTTGAGGCACTAGTGTATCAAACGTTAAGACCAAAGCTGACATCATTGGAAAAGAAAAGGAAAGGAAAGAAAAATGCTTACTTTAAGTATTTAAATTATTTTTTAAAAACAAATACTTAAATTATTATTATGTGATTATTTTAAATTTTCTATTAATTCCATTAAAAATTTATTTTAATCAATAATATGTTAACACATTATATTAAATAATTTTACCAAATTTTTATTTAAAATTTAAAAAGCAATAAAATTGTAATTAAAATAAAATAGGGTAAAACTAACTGTGCATCTATTTCATTTGGGAAAACATCTCCTGCCTGAGACAGTGAAAATCCAGTAACATACTCTCATTCAAAAGCTTAATTTCCTCTTTCATTCACATTACGTTTATTAAAAAATTTATTATTTTAAAAAATCAAATTTCTCTAAAACATAAAAAAAAACTAAAAATCCCTAAATTCGAATCATCAACTCTATTGTTGAGTTTAAAAAAAAAGTTCTATTATCGAACGCTATTACGATCGTTGTTGTCAGTGATCATCTATCTAACGGCCACTAAATTTTACTATCGATAATCTCCTTACCCTTTTTTAAATCTCTAAATCTATATAAGTTCTAAATCCTCAAATCATAAAACCTTAAAACCTATTTCTTAGTTGTGCATTGTTTCTCCGATTGAAATGTTGGAGGCGGCTGAGGAGGTTGGATCGCGCAAGATCGTAGCTGCTTAAATTCTTGATCAACTTGATGGTTGAAAAGTGGATTTAAAATACAAGGATTTAGGGTTTAGAAACAATGATAATGAGTTGTTTAACAGTAGAGTTCGACGATTGGTGGGTATGTGACTGGCAATAACGATGGCAACGATGACAACCGACAAAGGAATTAATGATTTGAGTTTATGAATTTTAGAGGTTTTTTTTAATATTTTACAAACATTTGGGTTTTTTAAAAATAATATTACATCAAAAATACATATATGTACGTGACATGTATCGAACAATGTTTTTTTAAAATTCGTAAAGAATAAGTCGCCTAAAATAGTGAAATTAAAAGCGTTAGACATTTACATCGAACAACAAATATTTTAAGCACAAAAAGCATTAAAAATATATAATTTTAACATTTATTTTTTAATTAATTTTATGTATTAATTATAGCCAAGCATAACTAGTTAGGTTTCCTCGATACATTTTAAAAGATTCATGCACAACACCATCAACAAATTATGAAAATATTTAAAAATTTTCAAAATTTTCCTTACACATATATCTTAATTATCTTATACCTAATTTTAAATCCACTCATAATTTATTTTTATTTCATAAATATACGAGGATAAACTTGATGAGTATACAAATCTCGATGACAAAGATTATATAACATGGATAACCATACCCATTGTTTTAACCCATTACTATAGATAAACAAACCCTAGATATATGGAAAAGGTAAGTAAATAGTGAATCTAGTAGAAAACAAAAAGCTGATTATTCCTCAAGTAAACTCCTGATAATTGTTGCTTGGTCGGTATCCGTGTCCGTCGAAGCTAATAGCTGAGATAACCGGTCGCTTAACCCATCCACTTCTCTGTGTAAATTCCTGATATAGTTGCAGGTTTCCTGCAAGACCTTGGATGCTGATACCTGAAAGAGAAAACTAAATATTAGAGAGAGAAAACATAATCAATCATCACATTACACTATTTTTTGAATAGTGTGTGATGTTTATGTTTAGAATTTTTTAAATTTATTAACAATGTTGCTGCTCAAATTCGAATCTTCTAAGAGATCATATCTTTTTACTAATGAAGTCACTCATTAATTCTTACATTACACTATCATATCTATATTTCAGAATACAAATCGAAAAACTCAAACATGCAGATTTAAACCTTAAACCTTATAACTAACAAGTCATGCAAAGGCTGGTCGGCAAAAACATTATTGGAAAGAAAGAGATAAATGTGAAAAAAGAACATTGTTTTGGTACCTTGTCGGAGCGTCTTCGACGAAACTCAGGGATAAGCTGTTGCAACTTGGAAACAAGGTCGATAATCTGATCATCAGTGATCCTGGAACCACTTGATTGCCTAGAGCGTGATCTTCTGCTTGCCATTGTTGTGTGGGGAAAGAAATAAATCAACAAAATGAAAATTTTAAGGATATATATATATATATATATAGAGAGAGAGAGAGAGATGGGATTAAAAAACAGGGGTTATGGGGGGTGACAAATCAAAGAAAGAAAGAAAAAACAAGAAGAAAGAGAGATGCTTTGGTAGTGTAATGATAACAGACAAATGCATGGAGAAAGCAGTGAGCTATGCTTCTTAATAAATTAGGTTATTTTGGTGTATTCACGTTTATATATAATTATATATATATGATTTATATGAATCAGATCAGAATCATACATATATATATATATATATATATATATATATATATATATATAGATATTAAGAGGAAGGCAAGAAGGATGAGAATCCCAAATAGAAAAAAAAGGGGGAGAGAGATACGCCATGGTGTCCAGATGGGAGTGTCTGGGAACCGGGGTAAGAAGGCAAGTGGGATTAAGGGGGGAAATGTAGTCAATAATCACCCATCTATGCGGCCCTCCCCTCTGTCAGTTTAGCACGCAAGCCCACGTTCTCTGATTACTTCCTGTCTTTTTAATTATATATACTCACTTTCTCACTCTAAGTTTTAACAATTTGTTAGATTAATATATAAAAAAAAGTTTTAAAAATTATTATTTAATTTATTTATTAATGAATTCAGATCAAAAATAAAAAAAATAATTAAAATGTTTATTATTTAAAAAAATAAATTTTAATATTCTTTTAATTGAATTGACACTTAATTACTTGAAAATAGTGAATTAGAAAGATGAGTGGGTTAGAGTAGTTACACGACCCTTTTAGGGCGTCATCTTATATATATAAGAATATAAAATTATATAAATGAAAATGTTTAATTTTTTTAAAATTATAGATATTTATAAAATAATATAAAAATTATACAAATATAAAAAAATTATACATTTAAATAATTAGTTTCATGTCCAACACGTGATATGTCACATGTTCCAGTTTTTTCAGCTAGATTTAAAAAATAAGGTATATAGAGCTTCTCAAACGGTCAAGTCAACGATTCGATATTTATGTAATTCAATTAAGACTCTTAATATTGTGGTCGTGGGATCGTGGCTCACGGTAGGCAATTCATAATTCTTACTGTCGGAGGTCTTCCACGGAAACTGCTCTTAACTTGGCGTTGAAAACAGCCTACTACCTTACTTCCTCTTACCCCTTTACATATGGAAATAGGGTCAGCTAAATCAAAGCTTAGATTCCTCGTAATATAATATATTTTTTAATTATCTAAAGTAATTATAAAATAATAACTATTTAAAATTTTGTAATATATTAACAACGTATATATATTCTATAAATATAATTATTCGAATTTAAAAATTTTAAGAAAAAATAATTTTTTATTTTATCACTTGATTGAGTCTAGTATGATCTAATTTTTATTGTTATGCTGACTTGATTGAAGGACTGTTTTGTATAATATTATATAAATCGATCTTATATTTTGATGAAAATGTAATGAAATTTTCACTTTGCCATGGGACATGTGTCATGTGACCTTTAATTTACGTATGTTACGACACATTTCAAGGCCTCAATTAGGAAAACCTAGCTCATACCTCCGCGACGACGATTTCAAGTAATTTTACAAATGGTCTCTAATTATAGAGTATTATTATGTTGAGTTTTTAAACTATTAAAAGTTACAAAATGATTTTTGATTATAGGACGTTATTTTGTTGAGTCATTTGACTATTAAAAGTTACAAAATGACCACTTGACTATTCATATATTCCAAAATCGTCATTTTTCGTTAAAAAATTGATGACCGTTTGAGATGGATGTTAACTTATTGATTGAGACATGATAAAACCCGATCTTAGAATCATTTTAGATGTATTGTGGATCGAATCTTCGTGTACACTATGTCATTGAACCAATATTTGAAACATTATGTTGCCGAGCCAGTGCTTGAAAGCAACACTGGTGCCAATAGACATCATTAAAATATGATTTTATTATATTTCAGTCAGTAAGTTAATGTCCAGCTCAGACAAGCATCAATTTTTTTATATATAGAAAATGATGATTTTGGAACATATGAATATTGAGAGACCATTTTATAACTTTTGATAGTCAAAGAATTCCACATAACAATATCTTGTAGTCATCAATATCTTATAATTTGGAAACCATTTTATAACTTTAATAATCGTATGACTCAACAAAGCAACGCCCTATGATCGGAATACTATTTATGTACTTTACCCTAAACTTCGTTAATATAAGATAAATGGCATTCATGACTAAGGGAGATCACGCATTTGAGTATGCAGCATTGGAATAATCATTTCTTCTTTTTAATTATGATTTAATTTAGTCAAAGTTCCAAGTCTTGAAGCTAGTTAAGATTGAACATGAAAAAAGATTTTTTTTTCATGAAAATAGAAATTATTAACCATTTGAAAATAAAATATTTATTATCCTTTTAAACTTTGATTTCAATTTTCAATATATATTTTGATCAAGTCGTTGCCATGCATATATTTGTTTTTAAACGAGCAATTTTAAAGATGCTTTTATTTAATATGTTTGAAATTCTAATACAACAAGTTTCACCTTTCGTTGATGAGGTTTTAGTTTAATTGTAGGGTTCAAATCTATCAAAATTTCAAGACTTTAAGCTGACTAGCTTAGTTTTGTCATACGTAAAATTACACGTGGATTCTTTTAGATTTTATTGTATAAGTGATTAATGATATGTCTTTATTAAAAAAATAAAAAATGTCACGTCAATAGTTTATCACCATAATTTTGATAGATTAAAGTTTACCACTATAAGATAATGACACATCCTCGTTGAAAAATTAAAAAAATATTATGTCTTTAGTTTTGTTAATTTTTTAATGACTTGTATCAAATTGAAACCCAAATTAAACATTAGATATGATTTTGAGGGAAAAATTTAGGTATTGAAATGGAACAAAAGTAATAGTTAATATACTAAATGTGTAGTTTACCCAATCCACTATTACATTAGTTATAATTTTATAACTTTCAAAATTCACCATAATTATTCATCTAAACCTTAAGTCGATTTGATAGTAATATAAACCTTAATTTGATTTGATAACATCTCCCCCAACTACTTCACTTAAAGCTTCCAGGTCACATAAAACATTAAATAAATCCAAGGGTTACTATTATACACGATTGAACTCTCAAATCTTTTAAAATCTAAATATAAATAGGAAGGACAAATTAGGGTTTCTCACTATTTTCTTCTTAGGTCCAAAGATTACCAAAATCTTAACTTAGAAAATCTCTTGGTTCTTCTGTCTTCAAACTCCCAAGGTTATTAAAAGTAAAATATGAAGTCACTATGTTACAAAAGAGGTAAAGGTCTACAATTTTTATTATTAAAGGATGGGAAAAGATCAACAGCTATAGAGTTTTCTTATACTTTCAACAAGCCCTAATGGGGGAAATAGGAAAGAAGGTTTTCGGGTATCAAAGAATGACATGGGAAATGGTTCTTAGCCCTCTATTGAAGTATCAATTCTTTAGATTATGTATCGATACATATGACTTAGTTTCATAACTTAACATACAAACGAACTCGTCAGGTGATTTTAGTGGTAAAAAGAAATGTTATTTTTTTAGAGGTATTAAGTTTGAGCAGTTTTGTCTGCAGAGTGTGATATTAAAATATTAAAAAAATTGAACCTTATAATCACTGCATATTATTCAAGAAAAAAAAAACTTAACCCACAAACTTGCTCTCTCTTATAATATGATCTCTCATATTTCAATTTATTATTTTTTTGACACAATCACGATATTGAGAGACAATTAACATTTATACACTCAATTTCTAATTTGAATAAGTTTATATTGGTAAGCTTTTTATCTTAGCACTTCACCTTCTAATTTGCAAAGCTCATCGCCTCTCGTTTTATATTCAAATAAAATTTTAGTCTTTAGTTTAGTGGTTCATTCATGGACATGTGACTATATGTAATATGCATGTTTTTTCTCCGTATTAGTGTGACGTTATCGTTATTGTCTGATGCTATTTGGTGACATTAAGTGCGATATTACAGTACGAAAACAAATATGATATGAATATATAAATATCTTTAAATTTATATGGATTAAGATTATTTTAAACATAATTATGACAAAAAAATTGAATAAATGTAATAAGAATATACGAACGCTAATCCAAGTCAAGAAAGAAACTGTAAATGTGGTCCAGAATTGATATTTTGGTCCCAAACCCTTGTGCTACTGTCTTTGAGATTCAACCATGTGGGATGTTTTCCCTCTGCCTTGTTTCAGACATGTATCTTGAAGCCTTAAACTGGTGCTTCCTAAGATTGCAGCAACCTGAAGCTCGGCAACATGGTTTTTTTTTCTTTATAATTAAGGTATTTTTTATTTATTTATTTATTTAGGTGAATACAATATAATATTTGTTTGAAGAACTTTCAACCATTTGAAATAAATGTTCATACAAACATCGTGTTTAAATCCGAAACCTTCAAGGATATCAATAATCCCTTAACTACTTAAACCACTTAGTTCGTGCTATAATTAAGATATCTTTTACGTCGGTTTCATTTTTTTTTTTTTTGCAGCAGTCGGCCGTTTACGATCAAACCGGGGCAGTGATGTCGTTCATTAGCCTCTTGCACCTCAGTTGTTTTCCGAAGACAAAGACAGCAAACTTAAACAGGTTATTCGCCGCTTGCTGTCTCATTTGGATTTCAAAGCGTTTTCTGCTTCAGCAAAACTTCATGTTCTGATAGCAATGTGTTCAAATATAAAACCAGATAGCTAGAAACCTTTAGAAGGATGAATTAGTAAGTGCATGTTGTAAATGTTGTAAATGGGGACAAGAAAATCCAAACTAAAAGTTTGGTTTCTCAAAGAAGCACATGCGATGTTTTTATTTATTTTTTTTAAATGGAAGGTTTTTTAGGAAGAAATGGGAAAGTGCAGGAAGAAAATAGAAAAGGTTAATAATGGAGAGTCACAATCAATGTCTGAAAAGCCAACTATAGATGACTTAATCATACATGTACTTGTCATTTTCAATGTTTTTTCTTTCCTAAATAAAAAATCTTTCACTATACATGTTGTTGTAGGGCCATCCCTATGTTCACTAAATTGTAATGTTATAAAATGGTAATTTTAAACCTTTTGAATAATTAATCATTCAATTTAGTCCTTTTAACACTTTAATT